TTTTGGCTGTGATTCTCTTCAGGAGCTTATATTCTGTGTGCATAATTACAACAGTACTCTCTGGATTGATGGCAAACTTTCAGGACTGCATCGAGTTTGTTCGACATCGCTTGCCGGACGGCGAGCTAGGTCCAGCTCCACAGTTTTGCGACATTTTCAGGCTATTGATGAGCCTCAAGGTTAGTCGAATAATCATTTATTTGCCATTGTTTATTTACGTTCAACACATAGTGATACATGTGTTTTAGTGTGGTGTTACATTACGTGACTGGTGTGATAGAATGGCACCTCGACGATATAACGTCGATGAGCGCCGGCTTGTTCAATTTGGCATGCATCACCAGTTTCTGAGAAAGTTGTCAACCTATCCTATATCGACGGTTTCGCCAAACGAGGTGGAACGATCTGGGAAGTGAGTATCTCAGACCAGAAATCGATGAAGTGTGAGGAAAATTCGTAAAGCGGATTGGAAGTGGCGCTACCATTGTGTGACCGCGCTATACGCAACGGTTTTTTCAATTTTGGTACATTTGTTGGAGCCCTACTGCTCGAGAAAATAAAAGCGTTAGTTTGAGCCTATACCTGCTATAGCTCATTGTGTAGGTCAGATATGATGCGGGTGCCAGGTTTTGCTGCATTTCTTAGCAGGAGTTGCATGCATGACGCACTGCTTGCTTAAAGGACCGATCTTGATGAGAAATTCTCTCCTCAAGTGAAGTAGCAGGACCCTTAATCACAAGGGTGGTGGTATTGACGCAATGTTAAGCAAGAAACCCGATGAGATCGTGTCGAAGAATCTATTCTGTGGGTGGGTAGAGTAGCCCACGAGTATCACAGATGTGCCGTTGTCGCGGCTCGAAAGTGCGCGACAATGGCGCTAGGGCTTTACAAAGTGAGCTATGGCGGCTAATGTGAGCTTACGGACGAGATACCTCGTGCACACCCCATGATACGCAACGTGGATTACGGCGTAGCGGCTAATTCAAATACGCGCGGGTTAGTGTAGCCATGGAACAAGCAAAATTGTGGAACTCAGCGCGAATTTCTTTCGAAGCAGGAAACCCAGGACTCCTCAAGTCAGGGGTGGACCTTGCATCGACAGAGTATCAGGCTACGAAAAGCGAAGGGTGTCCCCCAAGAGGCCCATCGCGCGGCGAAGGAAGAGACGCAGACGCGGCAAAGGACGAGTCGCAGCGCATACTGTAGCGGTTAGGCGTCAGGTTAAATAGAGTGTACCATACTACGTCTCATATCGCACAGCACGCGCTGCGACTCGTCTCTTTGCCGCATCTGCGTCTCTTCCTTCGCCGCGCGATGGGCCTCTTGGGGGACACCCGAAAGCGAAGAAAGAGTCGCTTGCTGTCCTAGTGCCCCAGACCCTCATTTCAGAGACCTCATTGCAGCTGCAAATTATTTCCATGTGCCAAGAAAGCGAAATCTGCTGGTAAGCGAAATCGACCATGATTGCACTACTTATTTCAAGATTTTCGGCTATGGTATGTACGAGAGCGTGAAGGATCTGCATAATTCATATGACATTGACCAGACGCAGCGTTCACTTACTATTTAATTGGAATCAGACGGCAAATTCAATTCATCAGCAAAATCCCTTTCCGTTTTCTTGAGCGTCAACATTGAACAGGCAATTTTATTTATCTTCTTTTTCCTTCACTGTACCATTACAAATTTTTATTATGCAAATGTGCGGTTTATAAGCGCGCTATTTTTATTGTGCGTTGTATGTAATACCTAAATAGCGCGCTGTTGCGATGCGTTGACGCGTCGCAACAGTGCGTTGCGATGCGCCAGTCGACTGACTATGCGTACAAATGTGTAACGGATTGGGCTATTACTCGGTTTTATTCTCATTTTATTATTTCTACCTGTTATACACATCAAATGTGGTTTCAGTTGCCTGAATTGAAATTCCATCAAAGCTTTATATTGTATCTTCTTTAGCCTCGAGCTGTTTGTTACCGCATCCCGCGGTGCGTTTACCCTTTAATTCTCCGTGTTATATATTTGCAAGGAATTGGTGCGGCTACTGTAAGTGAGAGATTATAAAAGAACAGTGATGTGGTAACGATTTTTTACTTTTCATGCATTTCATTTTATTTTTTTCCTTTCTGTGATTTCTTTCATTATAGCTCATTTATACAATCATGTGTTTTGTTAGCGCTAGCTAGTCACATAGTTTAGCGTTACGACTGTCGCGGGATGCATGTTACCGAAAGAGCATATGTATTCTGAAAGTACCTTTTGGAAACTCTTATGAGTGATCTAGGGTCTCATTCCACTAAGCCCGGATGCAGACTTGCGATCGAGCCATTCGCTAGCGCGCGTCTCGGTTGCGGTACCACCAATGAGATTTCGCTCGCTGCAACGCACACCGCTAGCGGTCGCCGATTCGCAAAGTACTGCATCGGCCAAGAGAGGGTGCATTCTGAACAGTTCAGTCATCGGGGGCTGTGAATGATTAAGTTTTTCGAGGGTAGGAAGCTACGGTTATTTAGTCAAAAACGACATGCACTCACCCAGGAATTTCGGTGCTAACTTAGTTGGGGGGGGGCCACGCGGCGGCGCGGCAGTCTGCTCACCTGGGCCCTCTCGAGCGAGACAGTGTAAACTCGAACATTCCAGCTTTTCACGCATGTCAAGTGACTGCCCCCACCCCCCAACCCCCTAGGCTGGCTACACTCCCCCCTGGCCCACGGATTTCCGAACATGCCAGACGAGCAGACTGCCGCGCCGCCGCGGGCCCCCCCCCCAACCAAACTAATTAGCACCGATTTTCTTCCCTGCAAAATTGGAATTCGCACCCCCTCCCCTCCCCCTCTTAGTTATGAAGATCGTTCATCATTTGTACGGAGCAGGCGGCCCATTCGGTTCCACTCCATTTTCGTGTTTGTTGTGCGCCGTTCGATTTTCCTGTGCATTGCTATAATACGGTTGTCACGATTATTTTTTTTTGTTTACTTCAAGTCAGCAATCCAGAGTTTCAGTTGTGATCAGTATCAAAGTGGATTGTTATTTTGTTTCATTTCTATGTGGCTGAAATGTTCATGGCTACCCACCCCTGTTATAATTTATTGGTCGTGAAAATTGTCTTCTTGGCGCATTTCATTTAGCCGGGGTGTTGAATGTGAAATATTTTAATGTTTAAATAAATGTGCCAACTTCATTGATCCTCGGATGCTTTACTACTGCGATACTGATCAAGAGCACTGCGAATGAAGTCTGATCTGTGCCACTATCAATATCGTGGTTTTTTGGTCTTACCATACGACCTTGTGCTATCGGCGGCGCTAGAGAGCGTCGATCGTTGCCCATTGCTGTATCAGCGTCCGAGGCCGTTTCACCGTTTTTTTTCACTGTTGATATACTGGTGTTCCGCTAGAAAAACTTCCTCACTCAAGTATGTCCAATCCAAAACCGGTACTTTACTCTTACTGGCGAAGTTCGTGTTCATGGCGGATTCGTATTGGTAAGTGATTTTTTTGTTGATTTCTTCGGTATCAAAATCGCATTGCTTGTTGTTTCAGCTTTGAATTTGAAGAAGATCGATTACGATTACAAAGCCATTAATCTGCTCTCATCAGAGTACTTGGTGAGTTGGAATTTATTGCTGGTACTAGGTTGAGATGAAAATTCCTGAATTTGATTTTCGGAAATTTCGCAAAGACAAATAAGTTTTCGTTATTTTCTTTTTCTGTTATGGAAAGATATCCTCAAAGTACCTGTAAAGTAAATGTACAACAATTGCAAATCCGCTGATAGAACAAATTTGTCTCCAATCAATCGTTCCGTTCTTTGCCCAGTTATCTACCCTTTGTCTCCCATACTCACAAGGAAAGGCCATTTGGTCAATCCTGCCATCTGAAATGAGATGTATACCTGAATGCGTGCCCAAGACGCTGAGTTCAATTCCTTTCTTTCCTGCAGAACGTCCCTAAAAAAAGTTATGATGCAAGAGAGCGCAGCAGTAGTTATCCTGATTCACAGGTCGGAGGTGGTAATATCGACTCCAGTGCGAGTCCGTACTTTTGCCTTTTCAGAAATGTGCCTAGAGAGGCTTCTAACATATTTCTGAAACTAGGAAAATTATGAACTCGCATTGGAGTCGATCCCACGACCTCTTGCCTGTGAGTCAGAGTCACTACCGCTGTGCTTTCCTGCTTCGAA